CTAGGTGAAGCAAGTCGTGTTCGGCGGGAGAAACACGAGGCGGACGTGACTGAGCGAGCGCGTGCGGAAGCCGAAAAGATCCTCCGAAGTCGCGGTCTCCGTCTTGAGCATGTGGCTGCTCACATTGTCTAGCAAAATGACAATGTGGCGGTCCTCCGAATACATAGCAGCATTGAGCTGCTCGATGAAATGGGTGAAAAGCTGTAGTTGGGATAGGAGGCACGACAGAATGGGAAACGGATTAGAACAAGTCACGGTACGGAAGGTCTGAATGAGATAGGCAACAAAAATGGAAATGAGGGTGTCATAACAATAAAAAGCGATAGGAAACACCCACCGCTGAAGTCATCCACCCCCTTGCATTGCTCCGCTAGTAGCAAAGTTCGTTCGGGTCATAGTCGGGGCGGAAGTCCCGCGGGCGCACCGACTTGGAGATCACCAAGGGGCGGAATACGTGACTTCCGTCGGCGTTGACGAGCAACCCGACCGTGAGGCGCTCCTTCGCCACCTTCCGCCCAGCGACGCGCACGGTCCCGTAGGTCTTGCGAGGCAGAGCGGAGAGCCACAAGGCGATTTTGTCAAAGTTGAAGGTGTTCTTTGGCGAAACCGCCAGATGCATGAGAAGCTGCGGAAGCTTCTCCTTGCAGGTGCGGACGGCAACGAGATCCTGGTCGGCAGCCTCGCCGACGGCTCGCATGCACCTGACGTCGTGGCGGTTCAATGCGCGGCGCACCCAGCCCACGGAGCACCGGAATGTCGCTGGCAGATTCATGTCGTGGGCCATGAGTGCGACGTGGTCCCGAATCAACCGAAGCGTGAGGGGAACACCAGCGGGGCCGGCATTGCGGATCCAGCGAACCATGGCGCGCTCGAGCTCGGGGTGAGCACCGCCACGAACACGGACTTGGCTGTTGTTGGTATTGGCCTGCTGCCAACGGTTGGCAGATTTCAACACCCAACCAATAGTGGAGCGGTCGGGCCTAAGGCCGAAGCGAGTGAAACACCACCTTGCCAAATCGTCATGGCGCAGCAAGGGATGCGCAACATGGTGCGGTCTTGATGTGCACAGGCAGCTGAGAGCGGCGGTATAGGGGAGGCATGGTGAATTGTAAGAATAGAAATTAGCATCTGAATGTCGAGTGGAATTGCTCCTCTCTTATCTACTCGGCAGATGACTTCGAGGGTTCGTGTTGTGTGCGTTCGGTTGGGCACGGGAGTGGAAGCGGATGAAGTGGTGCACATGTATCACGCCAGTTTGTGTGCATTTGGCGACGCTGTTACTGTCAGAACATATCTATAGCTTATACTGCTGTGTAGGCTGTAGTGGGGTATCCCATAGGGGGTACAACCCAGTTAGGGTTTCATATTTGTACTGCTTTCATTCATAGTTCATTCATTCCTGCTTACTCATTTACACATGGTATAGAGCTAGGTCCCTCCAGGACCGAAATTGTTTTTTTTTTTTTGGGCCCACCGAAGCGCGCCCCCGAGGCGCGATTTTTTTAGCGACCCCTCGAGTCGCCCTCTCCCCTGCGGCCTCGCCGCCCACTCTGTCGCGGCCCCGCCCTGCTCCTTACGCGGCCCCGCCGCCTGCTCCTTACGCGGCCCCGCCCCGGCCCTTACGCGGCCCCGCGTCGCCTCCTACGCGGCCCTTACGCGGCCCCGCGCCGGCCCCTTACGCGGCCCTTACGCGGCCCTTACGCGGCCACGCCGCCGGCTCCTTACGCGGCCCCGCGCCGGCCCCTTACGCGGCCCTTACGCGGCCCTTACGCGGCCAAGCCGCCAGCTCCTACGCGGCCCCGCGCCGGCTCCTTACGCGGCCCTGACGCGGCCACGCCGCCGGCTCCTACGCGGCCCCGCGCCGGCTCTCACGCGGCCCCGCAGCTGGCTCCTATTCGGCCCCGCAGCCGGCCCCTTAAGCGGCCCCACCGCCGGCCTCCTACTCGGCCCTGCCCCGGCTCCTATCACGGCCCCGCCCCGGCTCCTTCGCGGCCCTGCCCCGGCTCCTACGCGGCCCTACCGCCGGCCCTGACGCGGCCCCGCCCCGTCTCACTTCTACGCGAGCCGAGCCGCCTGTCGCCGAGCAGCCCGGGACCCGAGCCGCCCTGCAGCCGAGCCGCCCGGCAGCCGAGCCGCCCTGCACCCGAGCCCACCTGCAGCCGAGCCGCCCGGGAGCCGAGCCGCCCTGCACCCGAGCCGCCCTGCCGTCGAGCCGCCCGGGAGCCGATCCGCTGTGCACCCGAGCCGCCCGGTCGCCGTTCTGCTTTTCTGTCGAGCTGCGCGACCTGCCCTGCCTGGTGAGCACAGTCCCACTGTCACTGCGTGCTCTCCCCCCTACTGCTTGCACTGCTTCACAGTCGTCGTCATGGCTACCCCTAGTGTCCTAGCTTTTGACGCTGAGGGTCGCGCCATTGATTTTGAGGTCTGGCTAGACGACCTGCAGCTGTTCTTACAGTGCGACAGGGCTGATGACCTTTCTCTCTTTGACCTCACCTCTGGCGCCTCTCCTGCTCCTGCTGCTGATGCTGATCCCGCTGTCCGCTCTAAGTGGGCCACCCGCGATGCTGCTGCACGTCTTGCTGTGCGTCGCCACCTCCCTACCTCTGAGCGTGCGCACTTTAGTCAGTACAAGAGTGCTCAGACCTTGTACGACGCTGTAGATGCGCGCTACTCCTCCCCTGCCACTGCTGCACTGAGCCGTCTCATGCTTCCCTACCTCTTTCCTGACCTCTCTGCCTTTCCCACTGTCGCTGACCTCATTACGCACCTCCGCACTAGTGACACTCGCTACCGCGCCGCCCTTCCTGCTGAGTTCTGCGCTAGGAACCCCCCTCCCATGTACATCGCTCTCTACTACGTAGTCGCGCGCCTCCCTGACTCCCTTCGCGTCGTCAGGGACCACTTTCTCGCAGTCTGTCCCACCACTCTCACCGTCGACCTCCTCGAGAAGGCCCTCCTTGCAGCGGAGAAGAGCATAGTCGCTGTAGGTGCTTCTCGTGGTGACCCTCGCACCCCCATCTTTGAGGGGTGCTCTCCTTCCCCCTTGCTGCCCTCTGTTGCCTCTGCTGCTGCTGCCAACCTGCTTGGTCTTGAGTCGGTCGGCGCGGCGTCTGCCCCTAGTGGGAGACGTCGCTCCAGCAAGGGCAAGGGAGGCAAGGGCGCGGGTGGAGCTGGGGGGGGCGGTGGCGGTGGCGGCGGTGGCGGCGGAGGGAGTGGGGGTGGCGGCGGGACTAGTGGCGGGGGTGGTGGTGGTGGTGGTGGCAGCAGCGGCGGAGACGGTGGTGGTGGTGCCAGCGGTGGTGGTGGAGGCAGCGGCGGAGGTGGAGGCGGCGGAGGTGGAGGCAGTGGAGGCGGCAGCGGCGGAGGCAGTAGTGGTGGAGGAGGTGGAGCTGGTCGGGGTGGTACCCAGCAGCGTAGCGGCGGTGGTGGTGGCCAGCGCTCGCACCGGCAGCAGCAGCAGCGCTCACGGGACATCCCTTCGCCTCAGCAGCTTCGTGAGTGGTACGCTGGGCGTCAGAGGGGTGGGGGTACTGGTCCCTGCACCTACGTTCTTCGTTCCGGCGACCGCGCGGGTGAGCAGTGTGGGGGTGCCCACGCCACCCAGCGCTGCTTTGGCCGCCTGACGGACGCTTGGCGTCAGCAGTTCCCTGGGGCTAGTGAGATCCCTCGCTGGGATGAGCTTCTCAGGGCTGGTGTAGCGATCTTTGATCTTGATTTTGATGCTATCCTTACTGCTATATATGTTGTGGATTATAGTGAGGAGAATGAGGGTTACCGGTGTTTCCAGCCCGACCCGGGCATTGGTACTGCTGCGCTAGGTACTTGTGAGGCTGCTGCTCTAGGTGCCAGTGCGTCTGCGCTCTCAGGTACTGGTGAGACTGCGCTCTCAGGTACTGAGTCGTCCTCGTCCTCCCTCACTTTCACACTTGACTCCGGTGCTTCTCGCTCCTTCTTTCGAGACCGCACTACCCTTTCGCCGCTCGCCAGGCCGGTTGCGGTCTCCCTTGCTGACCCCTCTGGGGGTCCTGTCCTGTCTCACTTTTCCACTGTCCTCCCGTGTCCGGCTGCCCCTTCGGGCACCCTGTCGGGTCTGTACCTTCCCTCGTTCTCTACGAACTTGGTGAGTGGAGCGGACCTGCAGGATGGGGGTGTTCACCAGTTCACTCCTGCGCGTCAGCGGGTGACCCACTGCACGGAGGCTCGCACAGGCCGACACCTGGCCACGTTCTCGCATCGGCCGGGGTCGAGTCTCTACACCCTGACCGTTGAGTCTCCTCCTGTCCCTGCGTCTGGTCAGGTGGCTGCGTCGGGTCAGGTACTTGCTGCTGCGTCCCGGTCAGGTCCTGAGTCTGCCCCCTGTTCTTGTCGCCTCCTGTCTCACGAGACTCTCCTGTGGCACCACCGTCTTGGCCACCCCTCCTTGCCCCGTCTTCGGAGCATGGCTTCCCGTGTCCTTGTCTCTGGTCTTCCCCAGTCTCTCCCTCCTCTCCCCTCCGGGCCAGGACCTTCCTGTGTCCCCTGTGTCGAGGGTCGCCTCCGGGCTACTCCTCACTCCTCCCACTTCCCCCCGACAGAGGCTCCCCTGCAGACGCTTCACATGGATGTGTGGGGCCCAGCCCCCGTCCGTGGGCAGGGTTACGAGCGATACTTCCTGTTGGTGGTTGACGACTACTCGCGTTACACCACAGTCCTCCCCTTGCGCAGCAAGGGTGCGGTCACTGAGGTGCTGATCGACTGGATCCGCGAGGCTCGTCTCCAGCTCAGGAAGAGCTTCGGCTCGGACTTTCCTGTTCTGCGTCTGCACTCTGACAGAGGCGGAGAGTTCTCTTCTCGCCTTCTGCGAGACTACTGTCGTGCACGGGGGATCCGCCAGACCTTCACGCTTCCGGACTCACCACAGCAAAATGGGATTGCTGAGCGCCGCATTGGCATGGTCATGGATGTCGCTCGTACGTCCATGATGCATGCGGCTGCCCCCCATTTTCTGTGGCCGTTTGCGGTGAGGTACGCGGCGCATCAGCTCAACCTTCACCCCCGGGTCTCTCGGCCTGCGATGTCCCCAGTCTTGCTGTGGACAGGGAAGGTTGGCGATGCGTCTGTGTTCCGTGTCTGGGGATCTCGGGCGTTTGTCCGCGACTTGTCTGCGGACAAGCTGTCCCCTCGTGCTGCTCCCTGTGTCTTTCTTGGCTTCCCCACTGACGCCCCAGGGTGGCAGTTTTACCACCCCTCCTCTCGTCGTGTTCTGTCCTCCCAGGACGTCACGTTCGACGAGTCAGTCCCCTTCTACCGTCTCTTCCCCTACCGCACTCCTTCCCTCCCCCCTCCCCCGGACTTCCTTGTGCCGGTTCCCCCCCCGGTAGACCCCCTCCCCCCTCAGGTTCCTGCCCCCTCAGGTTTGTCCCAGGTAGACGCCGTTGACCCGGTCGAGGTTACTGGTGACTCTGGTCCTGCTGCGGGTGCTGAGCCTGGGGGTGCTGACTCTGGGGGTACTGTGCGCGGGGGTGCTGTGCCTGGGGGTGCTACTGCTGGGGGTGCTGGGCCTGAGGGTGCTACTGCGGTGGGTGCGGAGCCTGGGGGTGCTGAGCCGGGGGGTGCTGTGCCTGGAGGTGCTGGGTCTGGGGGTGCTGGGTCGGGAGCTGCTGAGCCTGGGGGTGCTGAGCTGGGAGCTGCTGAGCCTGGGGGTGCTGCGTCTTGAGCTGCTGAGCCTGGGGTTTCTCCTGCTGCTGCGTCTCGCCGGGAGCCCCTCTCTCCACAGGAGCTGCGCGAGTGGTT